GTATTTACAACCTCACGTATATATTACATATTTATAGAGTATATACTCTATATACTAGCCAGACATTTATATATGTTAGATGAACGTATAGGTTGTACTTTCAATTGTTTTTTGCAAGCTACAAACTGTAACCCAACCATTTTTCCCAATTTGCTAACACCATCCAACTGACATATGTCTGAAATGACAAGCTAAAACATTCAAGAGTGCAAGAACAAATGACTCAAAGCACCATGGGGCCTATAAGGGACATTTTCCATAAATAGGCAGGCAGACATATCTGTGTTGTGTGGAGACTGCAAAGCTGGAAATGAATGCAACAATTTTCAGAACTACTAAAATTACAGTATATCAAAAAAATAATTTACTATAATTCTATTATAGTAGTACTTAATATAATAGTAATAATAATATATTATAATAATACTATTTTTATACTACAGTATAAATAAAATATATAAAGTACAGTAAGTGTGTATTAAGTACAAACTGTAGTTTATTGAGTACAAACAAATGGTCTTATCCTTTGTCCAATGAAGGAAAACTTTCAACAAATTAACAGGAAAGTACTGTTTCACATTAAAGGTCACCAACACTAACCCCCTGTCCTTTATCTTTTTATAAAGTATAGGGGTAAGCTGCTTCATTAGTTAGAACAATCAGACTATTCACCTCCACAGGTATTATCAAGTAGGTCCTTTGAAATTTGAAAGAGAGACACTCCTGACAAAGTCCCTGGAAAATGAAGATTTTAAATAATTAAACACAGAACCCAAAGGTTTGAACGTGCCCTGGTCTCAATGAAAGCAGAGTAAGGGCTTAGAGATACGATCTTACCAGAGGTCGGTTGTTACCTTGAGGAAAATGAGAATTTTGAGGTTGAGAGAAAAGCTTCAGACACCCCCACATCAAATCAAAACAACAAAAACAACTATAATAATAATAATAATAATAATAATAATGTTTTCTCCAGACGAAGGTTTGATTTCAAATGTGATTTGCTCTCCTAATGTAACACAGAATCCCCGTACTTCTTAATTTTATGGTGATAGCTGGTAATCTGATTTAGTTTTTATTTATATTACTTACCTTACCTGTCGATAATGTCTAAAAAATAAATAGCACGACCTGTTATACTTTCTCTCAAACTTCATCTCAGGTCTTTATTTTTTATTTCGGTTGGTCGTCCTTATATCCTGCACCATCAGGCCACCTTTGCAAGACCAATGTTAGCAACTGTTAAGAAAACACCATCGTTTACTTAGCAAGGAATAATAACGTGTTAAGAGTTTCTGTTCGATATATACTGTATATAGTTTCTTTGTTGAACGAGTATACCGATAAGACAAAATCATGAACTAATTTGTCAGGCACCGAAGAATTAAAGAACGCTCTTGAAAAAGTGGTTAATTAATAACTCAGGTTTAGTGCAGATCTGCAGCAGCCTACGTCAGTATATGCAAATAACCTGTGTATTTCTGAATCTAGCGTCTGATGCTCTTGTCCTTTTAGCTTCAGGACAGAAATGTTATCAGAAGCTTAGACATTTTATTCCAAATTTTAGGGAAAATCTTTCTGTCATCTGCTAATTTCAAGAAACTATTTTCGAAGACTTTGCACCTCTAGCCTGAGTTGAATATGGCTAGATGTCATACAAACTGTATAGAAAAGCCCGTTTGCATCGGCTTTGAGAAGTTAGGACGTTTTATAGGAAGAAATCCCTGGTGTTTTTTTGTTATTCCTTTGCTGATCTCCGCTGGACTGGGAGGAGGTTTTTATTTTCTGAAAGACCGAGAAGCGAATGATATTGAAAACCAGTTCACTCCCGTGAACGGACCTGCAAAGACCGAACGGCGATTTGTGCAGGAAAATTTCCCTCAGAACTATTCTGAATTTTCGAGTCAAAGGCTGTACACCGAGGGGACATTTGCTTCCGTCATCGCGGTTTCAACAGGGTCGAGTATTTTAACAAAAGAGGCATTTCAAGAAATACTAGATTTAGATGCTGAAATCAAACAGATGAGCGTGCGTGCGGACAACGGCCAGTTTAATTACACTCATCTCTGTGTCAGAACGAAGCAGAAGTGTGTTTCCAATGCAATATTAGACATTATAGACTATAATGCCAGTAAAATCGAAGACATT